AAAAAAATTCAACGAGGAGGATGATGAACAAAAACTCCCCAGAACCCCCCTTTTACCATTTTTTTCCCCTCTGCAAACAATAGCCGTTGTTTCATGAACAACTTGAAATACCTACAATATCCTACAATAATTTTATAAATCTGACAACTTTTGGAATGTGCATCGGATGTCAATACGGCAGCCCCTGAGAAGGCTGGCTCCACTGCTCCACACCACCATGCCGATGTGAAGGCACTACTTGAAGCGCAAAGCAACACATGAACACATAAGAAGCACGGCAACTCTTAAAACTCAAAACACATGGCAGCCGTCATTCCTGCCTTCTCTTTCTTGTCCCACTTCTTCTTCTTGTCCTTCTCTTTCGCGGCCTTCTTCGAGAGGGCGACTGAGCCGCTAATAGTTGAATCATCTGCCCGATCTAGAAGTTCGATCCCTTTCGGCAATGCTTTCTCCTCATATTCCTCGGCTTGTCATTGCTCAAATCACGCAACAAATCCGAGAACAACACCAGGCCCTATTGTCTATCCATCCTCCTTTTCCTGAATACTTTATATAATGATACCTCGCCTCTATCCGTATAATTGGTCGGAGGTCGGATGCTTCACACAATGCAACAGGGTGCTGTGAGGTCGAAGCAATCGTAAAGCTGCTCGTCGTGATGAAAATCTGAGTCCTGCGTCAGAAACCGACAGAAACCCATTGGTGCACGAAAGGACAACAAAAATCCCAAACAACAAGACACTGTTCTGTGCTCTGTTCTATCTGATCACCAACTGTTGCAACATGTTGCAACCATTCCCCCCTTTCGATGTATCTGCCGTGCTGTGGGCATCGTGTCCTCCCCAGCTTCCACGAAAAGCTCTATGCTGTCTTTTACGACCGCCAGGTCGCTCACTTCTACGGCATCGTTGTTCGCCTCACCGGTGCCCCGGATGGGGGCGTGGTTAATGGATACCCCTTAACCATCCTTAACCTCTTAATTAGACACCCCAAACAAGGGGGCCCTGGTAGTTTTTCCTAGCTTTGAGGAAACTTCTCTTGGATCCGATCTTGCTTCCGGCAAAGAAGTTGTGAAGATCGTTCTTTGCGGTCTCCCTTTTGCTGTGGGCCAAGGTTGAGGACTTGTCTTGGAGAAAAGGGGGCTCGGGTGGTATCCGATTTGATGAGAACTCAAAGGTGAATGATACTGACTGATGCTGTTGATGACAAGGACGAGTGGTAAACCTGAAACATGTCTTACCAGCTAGTGGGTGCAAGCACCAAGTAGACCCCAAACTACCATAGGGGTGTGAATTCACATACACCCCCCAGGGTGGTCATTATATATATATATATATATATGTATATAGATAGATCTGATTTGCTACCCTCCAGGGGAGGATCCGGCCACAGAGTGAGGAAAAACTAGGAATCACAGCCCGCATGGTTGCAATATGTTGCTATCTTATTGGCTTCACAAAACATGCTATCCCAAGGTGGTCCACTATAGAATCATGCACCCCAAAAGCAATAAAGTGGGGGTCGAGAAAGTCGATAACATATAATTCAGGGTTCTCCAAACTATAGAATCAGGATCCATGGGTTCTGAAAGGCCTCACTCCCAAATCCTCCTTCACCTACACATGCTGGGTGAATCTGCTCCCTAGTCTACCCACTCCCACCAAATTCCATCGCCACATTTAGCCAACACCAGAACACCTGCCTTCTCACCCCGAAATTGAACCACACAGCAGGTAGCTCTGACAAATTATCTACAAAACCAGGAGTTTATGAAACAGAATAAGTATGGAGCGTCATGCAGGCTTCAACATTATGGGAATACCAAATAGCACAATCCGAGACGAAGGGACGGTTGACATCGTTGGACAGGAATGATTCTCTATACAATGGTCTCTACAAAGTCAAGGTACCCAAAGTGACATTCTTCGATAACGAGAGCAACCAACAAAATCTCCTCCGAAGGATGCATGGTCTCAGGGTTTGTTTCCCCACAACCAATGGATCAATGGCGAATGTCACACACACCTCGTGGCTTGTAGAATCACACGCCTTGAGGTGCGGCATTCGCTAGAAACGGGTGCCATGTGTCTCTAAAATGCCCGAAATCATGCAACCAATTGAGCCCTGAGGGTCCATGCTTCATAGAGGAAATCCACACGCCTATGGAAACTGCCCATGTCCCTTTCTGCTCCGGAAACAAATCCCCACAAAAAAATCGTTCCAACGTCTTGCGCACTTGGCCTATAGGTGGAGGGCTGAACAAAACGGCCAGGGCCCTTCAGGGCGAGAGCCCCGGCTGCGGTGCCCTGTGGGCTCTCTCGCGGTCCAAGGGACGGCTCGGAGCAACTGTTCGAGCTTCTTGATATGCCATCGGGTTCTCTCCTGAGATGGCGGCGAGTTCGAGCGCGGGGCGCGCTCATCGACTGCGCGATCTGTGGCTTTGAAAGAAATCATGTGACACTGAGAAGAGGTTGTGTTTATGAATGTAATGAACTTCCGAAGAGGCTCCACCTGAAAGGTTCACCCTACTTCTTGGATCTTCTTGGTGTATTGGACCAAAAGTAAACACCCAATGAAGAAAACCTTTGATCTAGGTAGGTGTTGGGACTTCAGATGCCACATCTAGGGGCTGTGCAGGAAGGGCGGAAGCGTGGAGAATTAAACATCCTCAACTGACCCGTGCTTAGCAAGGAATGAGGAAATGTCAAAGGAGTCTCCATTGAGGGCTCATTCCCTCATTCTACTAAGCGCCAGCCAGTCAACCACACAAATGAAGCCTACTGCCTACTGCATACATCTGCATACTCCATCCCGAGGTCACCAGGAATGCTCTCGGAGTGGCTCTGAACAGGAAAAACATCTTGATCTCATCTCCCCATTGGTTTGCAGTCGCCAAGGCACTTGAGCCTTCTGAAGCTTGGGCAACCGCGACTTGTCGTCTGCGCTCGGGGCTTTCCTCGACCGATTTGAGGCGAGGCAGGGACAACAAAGCGCCCTTCGAGTGGTCAACGCATGTCGGTCAATGAAACCGACTTCTGCCCATTTACTGCCCGTGGCCCGCCTTCCAAAGTAGGCTAGCATTAAAAGCGCTGGTGCTGCCAAGACTGGTTCGTATCAAAGCAGTGCGGGCAATTAGCTGGAACAAACCAACCAGCCAACCAACCATTGCTGTTCCCCCCAGAGTCTGAACTGCCAAGGTTTTAACACACCAAACTGCCGTTCTTCAAATGGATCTTCACCAAGCTGCTTCCCTGAGAGTAGCTGCGTGTCGGCTTCAAACTGGTCTAGTTGGTCCTTCAGCGCCTGCGCCGTCGCCGGGTTCGGGTCCACCGATGAGATCACTCGAACCGAACATCCCAGTAGATATATATGTTTATATATATATATATATATGTATATTACAGTAATATACATGTTTCAGAGATTCCAGAGATGTACAATATCTATATCCACATGTTCCAGCGATCTGATCTGAACATCGGTCCAGACGGTCCGCTCCGCTTCAGGAACGTCAAAACGTCTGATCCAAAGCTTGCTGGGGGTCGACTTTCGGTTGAAAAAGGCGGGGCCAACAGGACTGTCGCCCCCAGCGAAAGAGCGAGATGGTCTAATGTGCCGTGCAAACACAGGCACGGTGTTCCCGTGCCAAAACAGGCGTTGTTGCGGCATTGTCTAGTGAGTATGCCGTAGACTCATTCCTAGATCATGAAAGCACACTGGTTCATGTAGGGGCCTTCACTACGTTGACCTGTGCTGAGCTGGTGCCGTTTTCGGTCAATGTCAATTAGACACTTCCTCCGTCCTGGGTCATTAGGCTTTCAATAGGCTTTCAATAGATCAATAGGCCTTTCGGTCAACTAGGTGCCATAAACGTCCCAAGTACCAACTGTCCTGTCGAGCTCTACCGGCCGCTCTTCACCCGCCGGGGACGAGAACGCCGCGTGGCTGAGACGGCCTGGATGGTCTGAGCCAACCACTCCTGGTACTTCTGCTTCTCCTCAGCGAAACGCGGCGAAGTGGCAGGATTCAAGCCATAGCCGGTTACGGTTGGAGAGGGATAGAGAGAGAGATATGACATGGCCAGGTATGGCTATAGGCTATAGGATGGTATAGGCCCATCAAAAGCGCTTCCACGTTTGCCTTTTCCCCAATGTTCAACTCCGCCATGCTTCCGCTTCTTCTAAGTCGAGCTCGTCCATCTTGGCTAGACCTGCAGCGATGAATACATTCAACAAAATACACCATGCAGCTGTCGAACGAACCCATGTTGTGCTTCCTTTCTGTTCGGGTTTAACCCTTGCCACCTACAACCTATACCTTTCCATTCATGTTCCTTTCTACCACCTACCTGTCTATCTTCATCCATTTGGGTTTCTTTCTGCTCTTCTTCATGCGTCCTCCAAACAAGCACTGGACCCGTTCCCTCCCGGCCTGTACTGGAGAAGGCCTTCGTCTTGAATTCCCGCTCGAAGTCTTTGAATCTGGACCTTGTTGACCAGCATGAACCGATGACATGAAAGGAGCAAACAAGAGTGGTTGCTGATGGTCCATGTTACAAACCTTCAACTTGCACAAATGTCCATTATAGAATTATATATTATATATATTTATATGTGTGTGTGTGCAATGTTCCTCCTGTGAACTTTCTCAAGAATCTTCATGCACTTGTCGGCATAGCCAACAGGGCACAGGCGAGACCGTTCGAGAGATTCACTGGACGACAAGATGGTGGATGACTGAAATGGTGACCAATGCAAACGAGTAGTCCAAAAACATGACCTCTTGGATGGTCCTGGTACTTTCGTACACTCCATGAGTATGAATTTGATGATGTCAATTGAACGTCTCTGGAGGAAAAAACTGAGAAACTAGGAAGATGATGGAAGATTGACAGAGATTCCAAGGATCGATGATAGCAAAGCCAAGCTTATTTTCAAAAAAGAGAGAGAGAGAGAGCGATGATGAGGGATGATGAGCGATGGAATAAGGGTTTGGTCCGGAGGCCCTTCAGGTGGACAATTTCCTTGGCGGCCCGCACCTCACCCCGTTTCAGTTGGGATCTGCATTGCGAGATTACGGCTGAAGCAAACGACAGGAGAACACGAGACCTATCACTATAAGCAGGAGTCGATGTTAACAAACATGTTTCAACGGCACTATATAGTCACGAGTCCTGGGTTTATGGTTTCTAAAGGCTTGTGCCACATTGACCAGCAAGCTGGACCAGCATCAGTTCTCACTAGAAACTGATGAAACGGGTCATCAGCTCGACCTGCTATGTTCGTCAGGCTCGACGACGAGTCCGTTGCGTGCGAGGAGCATGTCGTTCTCGATCTGCTTCCGGCCCTCTTCAAGTTTATCCTGACAAGTGCACAACGACATCGACGCCGCCCGCGACGCCCGTGCCACTTCAAGAAGTCGCACCACTGGCTTGACAAAAATCATGCCAAACTGGCTGAACAAAGAGAAATTCATTAAGGAAGGATCCACTGTGGAATTACCGGTGAATGTAGGGAATCAGATTCTATAGTGATACAACGAAAAACATACCCCTTGAGGAGGGTTCTGGGGTGAGGGATTTGATTTCATAAAGAAAAGTCATTTATAAAATGGAAACCCTCAGGCTGCTGAATTATAAAATGAGAAGCCGACCTTCGAATATAATGTCGAGACAGCATACAAGAGAACATGACAAAAACATCTGCAATGACAGCTTTTTCTATGGAGTGGATTTCCATGATTTTCCATGTAGAATTCACGAGACAGGATGCATAGGCTTCTTATCCGAAATTTGTTTTTTTGTCCGTTTTCCGGAAACATTGTGTTGTTTATGAAACGAATCCTGGAAATGTAATTCTATGTGACCAACACCCTCATTTCATAAGGACTTCTTCAAGGGGGATCGAAAATCCAATCTGAAAGGGCAGAATGCCCCACCATAGAATCAAATCTCAACCTACTGCAGTGCTGAGAACCTGTTCCTTATATATACTCTCCAGCAAACTAACATGGAACCCCAGAATTGACCGGTGGAAGATCATTTTCCTCTACAACCCAGTGGTTTTGGGGTTCCATGTTAATCTGCAGGGGAGTAAATTAAATCGTCCAGCTCAACCTTTTGAGCAAAGCTATTGTTTTCCTTAATAAAGTTTGATTCCAACATTTGCGAAAGTAAATGATGCAAATCCAAGGTTGAAATTGATTCTATAGAGAAGTGTGGGGGCAATATGAAGGTTGAAAATGACTTTAGAAAATGATCCGACAAAAGTGGCATAAGAGGTTGATTGTGACTTTATAGAGACATGAATGGACATTTTATGAGATTCACAACACACCAACACCAGCCACTCTGAAATCAATTCTCAGCCTTCTACTACTCCAAATGCTTTCTATAAAATCAAAAGCTACAACCTCCATAAAATCTGGTGCATTTTCATAAAGTGAATAGCTCAACCTATTGGGTATCGTGAAAATATCGCCCCGAGAGGCACATCTTTAAATGCTAGTTTCTATCAGGTATGTTGATATCTCATCTCATTCTAAAGAAAAACATGTCTATAAAATCTGAGGGTCGTTGCTCGACCTCCCGGACTACCCGGATTCTATAGGGTTCGTGGGGTCCTGGGGACATTAACAGTGTTCCCTTTGCCATCACTTCACTGTTTTCGATACCCACGGCCCCTAGAAGCAATTCCTTGTGCCATTGGTCAATAATTAACTCCTAATGTACTCGATCTAGCTCCGTCTTGGCACAAGCCTCCTGACGGTCCTGATGAAAAAAAAAGGGTTTTTATTAAGGCAAACTACTTTACTTCGAGTGATCCCCACCATGACATTTCAATCATTGGTCTTGATGCCATAGTGAGGAGCATGTTGCCATAGTCGTCAGTATTGTAGTTCTCGATGTTGCTTGTGGGTCCTCGGGTTGTGTGCTGTGGTTGTGTGCTGTGTTGTGGTTGTGGTTGTGTTTGTGGTTGCGTGTTTGTGGTTGTGTGTTTGTGGTTGTGTTTGTGGTTGTGTGTTTGTGGTTGTGTGTTTGTGGTAGTGGTAGTGGTTGTGATTGTGTGTTTGTAGTTGTGGTTGTGGTTGCGGTTGTGTCTTTGTGATTGTGTGTTTGTAGTTGTGGTTGTGGTTGTGTCTTTGTGATTGTGTGTGTAGTTGTGTTTGCGGTTGTGTCTTTGTGATTGTGTGTGTAGTTGTGTTTGCGGTTGTGTGTGTTTGTGGATGTGTTTGTGGTAGTGGTAGTGGTTGTGATTATGTGTTTGTAGTTGTGGTTGTGGTTGTGTCTTTGTGATTATGTGTTTGTAGTTGTGGTTGTGGTTGTGTCTTTGTGATTGTGTGTTTGTACTTGTGGTTGTGGTTGTGTGTTTGTGGTTGTGTTTGTGGATGTGTTTGTGGTTGTGCTTGTGATTGTGTGTTTGTGTTTGTGTGTGTGTGTTTGTGGTTGTGTGTTGTGTGTATGTTTGTGGTTGTGTGGTTGTGATTGTGTCTTTGTAGTTGTGTTTGTAGTTGTGTGTTTGTGATTGTGTTTGTAGTTGCGTGTTTGTGATTGTATTTGCGATTGTGTTTGTGATTGTGTGTTTGTGGCTGTGTGGTTGTGGTTGTGTGTTTGTGGTTTTGTGTTTGTGGTTATGTGTTTGTGATTGTGTCTTTGTAGTTGTGTTTGTAGTTGTGTGTTTGTGATTGTGTTTGTGCTTGTGGGCTTGTGATTGTGTTTGTGGTTGTGTGTTTGTGGTTGCGCGTTTGTGGACTGTGTGTTTGTGGATTTTTTCTGGCAAACTATCTGGTTGAGGTCCAGCGGTGCACACTGCGATCGGATCCTTGCGGTTGAGGTCCAGGGATGCAC